TAGCAAGCATCTGAGTAACATTTCTCATCTTCTACACTTACCTGACTTTGCTATCTAAGTAACACTCCTCATCTTCTACACTTACCTGACTTTGCTATCTAAGTCACACTCCTCATCTTCAACACTTATATGACTTTGCTATCTAAGTCACACTCCTCATCTTCTACACTTATATGACTTTGCTATCTAAGTCACACTCCTCATCTTCAACACTTATATGACTTTGCTATCTAAGTCACACTCCTCATCTTCTACACTTACATGACTATTTGTGTTGCAAGTGCCTTAAAACTCTTACTACAATTACATCATCAACCTTCTATTGGACCTGATTGTTCTGTTGGTCTGCTCAGTCTTGCCTTAAGTTGTGAGTGATGGAAACTTGTGCTGGTCTTGCCTTAGCTAAACCTAAAACGTTGGTGGTTGGTGGGTGCTCTGGTGTGGTTTGCTCCTTCTTTCCTATCAAACATCTATCATCCTGATCTCTCCATGTTTTTGTGTTTGTTACTCTCTTGTAGCACCTCTAATCTTCGGCACTTATATGTCCTTATTGTTTTGCAAGTGCTGTAAAACTCTCAAAAAAAGAAACCACTAAGCGTACAACCCGATCCTCAGGGCGGAGCCAGAGATTGTGAAGAGTAACATCGACGTCCTGGTACAGGAGGGGCTGGGGGAGAGGGCGGAGAGGGACTATCTCCTGGCTCAGGGGGTGTGTCAGGCCTTGATGACCCTGGCTGCTAAACCCAAGGTATGTGTGTGTATCTGTATGTGTGTGTGTGTGTGTGTATGTATGTGTGTGTACATGAGGGCCAGAGGGCAGAGAGAGACTATCTTCTGGCACAGGAGGTCTGTCTGGGATTGTGTGTGTGGGGGGGTTGTGTGTGTGGAGGGGGAGGGGGGATGTGTGAGGGCCAGAGGGTGGAGAAATGTGTTCCAAGTGCCGTAAAACTCTTACTAAAACTACAACTAGAAGAAGGGTTGTTGGTGAAATGGTATGGGTTTAACGCCCCTATCAACAAGGGTTGTTGGTGAAATGGTATGGGTTTAACGCCCCTATCAACAAGGGTTGTTGGTGAAATGGTATGGGTTTAACGCCCCTATCAACAAG